CACAGCAAAAGACACAATCATTAGAGTGAACCAGCAACCAACAGAATGGGAAAAAATTTTTGCAAGCTACCCATCTGACAAAGGGCTAATATCTAAAATCTACAAAGAACTAAAACAGATTTACGAGAAATAAACAAACAAACCCATTCAAAAGTGGGCAAAGGATATGAACAGACACTTTTCAAAAGAAGACCTATATGAGGCCAAGAAACTCATCATCATCACTAGTCATTAGAGAAATGCAAATCAAAATACATTGAGATACCATCTTACGCCAGTTAGAATGGCAATCATTAAAAAATCTGGAGACAACAGATGCTGGAGAGGATGTGGAAAAATAGGAACACTTTTACACTGTTGGTGGGAGTATAAGTTAGTTCAACCATTGTGGAAGACAGTGTGGCAATTCCTCAAGGACCTAGAAATAGAAATTCCATTTGACTCAGCAATCCCATTACTGGGTATATATCCAAAGGATTATAAATCGTTCTATTATAAGGACACATGCACACATATGTTCATTTCAGCACTGTTTACAATAGCAAAGACTTGGAACAAACCCAAATGCCCATCAGTGATAGTCTGGACCGAGAAAATGTGGCACATATACACCATGGAATACTATGCAGCCATAAAAAAATGATGAATTCGTGTCCTTTGTAGGGACATGGATGAACCTGGAAACAATCATTCTCAGTAAACTGACACAGGAACAGAGAATCAAGCACCACATGTTCTCACTCATAGGTGGGTGTCGAACAATGAGAACACATGGACACAGGGAGGAGAGCATCACACACTGGGGTCTGTTGGCCGGGGGACTGGGGAGAGACAGTGTGGGGTAGGGATTTGGAGAGGGATAACATGGGGAGAAATGCCAGATACAGGTGATGGGGATGGAGGGAGCAAACCACATTGCCATGTGTGTACCTATGCAACAATCCTGCACGTTCTTTACATGTACCCCAGAATGTAAAATGCAATTATATATATATATATATATATATATATATATATATATATATATTAAAAAGAAGTTTGGTCATTACCTTGAATGTGAAGAATAGTCATTAAATTATTTTAAATGAGCAAATTAGGATTCAACTAATATTCTAGAAAGATGCTTCTGGCTGCAGTGTAGGGGCATTGGATTTGACAGAACAGAAAGTGGAGGCAATTTCAAGAGAGGTGATAGAGGCCAGAACTAAGTTAATGACAATGTGGAGAGAGAAAATCCCACTTTGTCTATATGTACCTTGTTAGCCTTAACACTGCTTAGGAATTTGCATCCAACGCCCTGGCAGGAAGGTGGAAATACTGATTTTGCTTGACAGAGGTTTTTACCTACCTTCCATCTCTACTCCATTTTAAAATGTAATTCAACACTTAGTTTGATAAGTCTGAATCCTTCAGCTAAGTCCAAACTCTTACAGGGCAGGACATATACTTTATATATCAAACATTATCATTCCTAGCAATATGTGTTTTTAGAGCACATGCATGTTTTTCTTAATTATACCTATAGGTCTGTTTCTCTCCTTTCACGGAAGTAAAATAATCATTCTTTCTTTTTCCAGTACACATTTACTAGATTCAGGGAAGTTCCAAGATGCCAGTGAAGTAGACAGAAAAGAACCATTAAGAATGGTATTGTAAAACACTATCAAACTACAATCATAAATATATTTAAGTATTGTTTATCCATTTTGATTTAAAAATATATAAATGGATTTAAATATTTAGGATAAAAGTCAAAAACAAGCCATCCTCCACTGACCTGTGTTTAAAATTACCTTTCCAAGTCTTTTTAGTTTCTCAGCCCTCGTGCTATTTTCACTGTGAATTCACGCATTCACTGGGCTTCATCTGGCCTAACACAAGAACCTCTTCTTTCATCTCCCATTCCAATTTCATTTCTTAAAGGAGCTACCAGGACACTCAGTAATATTTCTAGTCAATCAAAAATTATAACTCCACACAAAAGATAAGCAAACTCAAATAAGAGTGTAAAAGAGTTTTTAAGAGAGAGAAAAAGAATTGACCAGTTATATACAAGAGAGGGAAGAATAAAACTTATATAAGCAGTTGGTAAATACAGCTATGTACAGAAATATTGTCTTATAATAACAAAAATATGTGTTGTATATGTGAACCAGTTTAAATCTTTTAACTGTACTTCCTTGACAGTATCTCTTATTCTGAGGCTCTACCGTTTCCTAACTTTTTCATAAAGTGTCCTATTAATTTATGTAAATAAATGTCAGTTTCCTTTGTTTTAATATTTTTACTCGGTAAAATAAGAAGCCATCAGTACTGTATTAATTTCCAACTTGATGTTGAAAATTTAATTATTCTGAGTAATTTATGAGGACCACTAACTTAGCAGGTCTGAACCTGGAAATAAAAAATGTCAAATACTGGAGTTGGAGCAAGTTGGAAAGGAATGTTTGGTTTAAAAGCAGTGAATCTGAAGTGTAGGTAAGACATTTACATGAAAATCTTTAGTGAATATGAAAAGTAGATTAGACGCAAGGGAAGATATCCAATAGACAGCTGGATCATGCAAGACAGTGTCCTGTTGGAGGTACAGATTAGAGAGTTTTACTGCAGAAGGTTAGATTAAAAGCTATGAAAGTACTCTGAAAATAAGGGTAGAATGAGAAAATAAAAACAGGGAGATAGGTTTGAGGACAGAAAAATGTAGAAGGAGCCAACGTAGGGAAGTATCCACTCCCAGTAGCTGTCCCGAGCTGCTTCCTCTGTCTAAGGCCGTAAACATTTAGTAAAGCATATTGCTGCTATCTATCCTTTAGTCACTGCAGAGACTGGTGCCGGAGCCACTTGCCAACTTGTCTCCTTTGGGTTTCCCAGTGTCTCTGTTCAAATTGTGTTCCCCTTTTTTAATTTCTTTCTTTGCCTAGCTTAGTCCCTTTTGATGTATAACTTTAAAAATTTTTAAATCTTGGATTTGGCATCTCCCTGGATGCTACTTCCTAAATCAAAGCTTTGTCTCTTTGCAAAACCCGCTGCTTTCACTCTCTCTGTCTTTCATTGCTGTTGCTTCTGTTGTTTAAAGTTGAGGTCTCACTCTGTTACCCAGGCTGGAATGCAATGGTGTGATCATAGCTCACTATAGCCTCCAACTCCTGGGCTCAAGTGATCCTTCCACTTCAGTCTCCCAGTTACCTCACTCATTTTGAGATTCCTACATTTCTGGGACACCATGCTTTGGTCCAGACCTAGTATCTCAAGCCCCACTACTCAAAGATGCCAAGGAGGGGGTGGAAGTAGGCAGGTGAATCAAACTTTAAAAGATGACATAATCAGTGTCAAGCCCAGGCCCTACCTAGCAAATAAGTAGGTCCCGTGTTAGTTACACAAACATGAGAAGGGCAATTAGAATAGACAAAATGGTCATGGAAAAGAGGAAGAAATTAAAGGTAGCATTATAGGTAAAGTAAATTTTGTAACCATGTGGGAAATAAACAAGATAACTAAAACAAGAGTGGTAAAAGAGCATGGTATGGGCAGAGTCTTTCTTATTCAGGAAAGAATAAAAATTTTATTAGCAAAAGCAAAATTTCTAGGAACATTTTATGTAAATGAGGTAACTGTTAACTGCAGTATTTAACATTTTTTATTTCCAGGTTCAAACCTACTAAGTTAGTGGTCCTCATAAAATACTCAGAATTCAATTAAATGTAAATTTACATTTAATTAAATCATAGAATCTAAAGAAAACAAAGCATTTAGTCAGAAAGTAAGCTACTGAGATCTGGTAGTTATATCTTTCTTCCCCAAGACCACAGTCATTGTACCAAAGTATGCTCAACTTCACATCTCATCATTTCATATTCTGAATTTTATCATAAAACTAAATAGTTTTTAAAAATTACAACTGAAGTCTGGGCATGGTAGCTGATGCCTATAATCCCAGCACTTTGGGAGGCTGAGGTGGGTGGATCACTTGAGGCCAGGAATTTGAGACCAGCTTGGTCAACATACTGAAACCCCATCTCTACTAAAAATACAAAAATTAGCCAGGTGTGGTGGCATGCACCTATGGTACCAGCTACTCGGGGGATGAGGCATGATAATTGTTTGAACCCAGGAGGCGGAGGCTGCAGTGAACCAAGATGGTACCACTGCATTCCAACCTGGGCATCAGAGTGAGACTCTGTCTCAAAAAACAAAAATGAATGAATAAAAATTAAAAAAATAAAATTACAACAGAAATTTATAGAACATTTGTTTTCTTTCCACTTAGGTGTATAGAGTTTGGGAAATAGGACGTTATCTGGTCCAAATGAACAGATCAAACCATTTTTTGCACTATTATAATTACTTATAATATTGTAATTAATGTAGATTCTATGTCCTATCATATTATACACCATCAGATTTGAAAAGTGTAGGATCTATGTATTTAAGCCATTCATAAATATTTTGAACACAACAGGACTAATGACTTCACAGTACTCAAATGGTAGGAATGCATAATAAATTTTTTCTTTCTTTTTTTTTTGAGACAAGGTCTCTGTTGTCCAGGTTGAAGTGCAAGTGGTACGATCATAGCTTACTGCAGCCTTGATCTCCTGGGCTCAAGCAATCCTCCCACCTCAGCCTCCCAAGAAGCTGGGACCAGAGGCATGTGCCACCATGCCCATCGAATTTTTTTATTTTTTGTAGAGATGGGATCTTACTATGTTGCCCAGGCTGGTCCCAAACTCCTGGGCTCAAGCAATCCTCCCGCCTCAGCCTTCTAAATTGCTGGGATTATAGGTATAAGGTAGCATGTCTGGCCCAATTTTTAATCAACTAAACAGTTCTACTACATAGTCCACATTTTAAAATTTTTGTCCAAGTAAATATGTATGTGACATATTTTATATATGCTTGTTATATAGCTTATAGAAAATCTCTTATAGGTGAATATCAAAAATAAATGAAGTACTTATCTACTGAGGAAGAATTAAGTGGAAATGATGGCAAATGCCTACCTGTATATATTTGTGAATGTACCAAGAAGCTTGCTTTCCATCATTCACTGATTCCACTGTAGTGTTAGCCAAACCAACGACATCACCGCCTGCAAACACCCATGGTTCACTGGTTTGCATCGTTTCTGGATCTACTTCTGGGAGACCCCATCTGTTAAATTTTATAGGACTCAAGGCTTCTTTTACTGGAAAAAAAAAATGAAAAACAATAGACAATTACTAATCAACAGATAATTCCATAACAATAATGTTAAAATTAAGAAAAATTATGATCATTGTTCCAAAGATTCGAAAAATTGTTTTTAGTAAACTATAAAAATGGAAAGCTCACAAAATATTGGAGTTAACAACACTTTTAAAGTGCACTGACTTAACTTTAACTGCACGTCACATACAGGAATTAAAGACCACAGATTTGGTCAGTGTTTCAGAGTAGACATAGAGTAGACATTTATGTCTAAGAAGTATGGATCTATGAAGAAAGAAAGTACAAGCTTTTAATTACATACAAAATACATTTTCTAAAATTTTATTCATAACCATTGTTTTTACAAATCTGTTACTAATCATATAATCCCAAACTTGTTCATGTGTGTCACTTTTGAAAGTTACATCATGAATTCAGGTCAATGGCTAATCTCCCTTTTACAACAAAACATTTTATAAAGCAAAATGAGACAAAATATTTAATATTTGCATCAAATTATTTGCACTTACTATTTAGCAGTTTAATGGATCTAGTATATAGTTACATTTAGCCAGCAATTTCTGTTTTGTTTTGTTAAAAGCAACAAATGCAAGTATTACCATTAGTTCCTTGTGGAAATTGCTCTGTAAAGTAGTTTTACAATTATTTGGTAAATATGCCGCATTTTACAATTATTTTGGTAATAATTTTACAATTATTTGGTAAATATGCTGAATTCCAATGAATCCAAAAGAGTCATGGAAGAGGAATAAGGTTGTGTTTCTTTAAGAGAAATGTCTAAAGAACATTTTGAAAACATAATCCTGACATTTGGAAGAGATCAATGAATTCAATTTAGAGAAAGGGTTGAGCAAGAGAAGAAATGAAGAAAGGTGGACAACATCCTATTTGATGGAGTAAACTGAATAAGCCAGTGTTTAGAATAAAACATTCTCTCCAGGTAATGATGTCATAATTTTTAAGCATAACATCTCAGACAGACTAAGCCTTATTCTTTACTCGAACTCAAAAGAAAAAATATTAATAACAACTTAAGCTAAAGGAAGTGAGCTTGTGATATTGGAACAGAAAAGTCATTTGTTAATTGATTTATGAATCAAGTATAAGGCAAAATAGCCAAATGTAAAAAAATATTATTTTGACATCAAAACCAGATTCTTCTGAGTAAAATAAAAAAAAACATAAAAAATAAAATAAACATTGGTACATACTTGTAGCTTTTTGCTTAAAAATGTTAGGATAACAGAAAATTATTGAGGGATTACTGTTGATAGTGCTTTACCCACAAGATTGTAGGTTTCATGAGAACAGGAATGTTTCCACACCGCTTGCCTAGAGCACACTACAGTTCTTGGAGCAGAGGACACTCAATTGGATTGATGGATGAATGAATGAATGAGTAGATGGGTCAAGGCTATTATACTCAGGTTTTTATTTTAAAATCTTCTACTGTTTGTATTTGTTTTTTCATCTTTAATCTAGAGGAAAATTAAATATTCATGTAATTATTTTCAAAGCAGAATGACATTTTGAGAAAATTTTTCTAATGTCTTTAAAGGTCACATGAAAAGAGACCTTTATCATTTGTACCCCATTGCATAACAGATCATCACTACCATCTGTTGACAGTTACTTGAGTTGCAAGAAAGTCAATAGTAAGTATGACTCATCAATTCAACCTATTTTAATAATGGCAACTGTAACACACCATCATTGCATGATATATGTAATGAGCTTTATAAATAGTGACAAGGGCTAAAAATGAATTCTGTTCTATCAGAAATGATCTTATGTTTCCAAAACTTTGGCCTATAAGAGATTCGAAATAAAGATTATTATTAAAATATAAGAAATTCAAATTTTTATCACTAGGAGATGAAAGCCTTTTTTTTTTTTTTTTTTACATTTATCTCATGTTTTACACGAATATCCTTGAAATTTAAGTACAGATTTCACTCTAACCTTGAGCATGTAGGAATAATTCCTTAGTTATCCCTGAGTCCCATGACATCAATTAGAGTCAAAGACATGTTTATAGTTGACCCTCCATATCTGTAGGTTCCACATCTGTGGATTCAGTCAACTGTGCACTGAAAATATTTAGGAGAAAAATAGAATGTTTAAGTCTGTACTGAACATGTACATACTTTTTTCTTTCCATTGTTCCCTAAACAATACAGTATATCAACTATTTATATAACATTTACATTGTATTAGATATATCATAAGTAATATAAAGATGATTTAGAGTATATGGGAGAATTTGTGTAGATTATATGCAAATAATACACCATTTTCTATAACAGACATGAGAGCATAGATGGATTTTGGTATTCAAGGGGAATCCTGGAACCAAGCCCCCAGAGATGTGAAGGGATAACTCTATTGTGAAGTTACTGATGCTTAAGTCAGGGTCTTCACTTGCATGGGACTCTTTCAAAACCCTGTGACTAATTTTGAATTTACAAATTTTCCTTTACTTAAAGAAGAGCCCTCAAATTATATAAGCTTCAGGCCTCATAAAATTTGAATCTTAACTTGAGCACAGTGAATTGTACACAGAAGGTGCTGCATAAATGCTTGACACATTAAATTGAAGTTCTTGAAGAATGTGCTTTACCATATTTTAGGAGGCAAAAAATGTACATAGAACAATTCACTTTAACATTCCAGCTGTCACAAACTCAGTCAATAAGTAGTCAGGAAACGTTACTTTGAGTTAAGTAAGTAACTTTTCATTTCTTAAAAGATTTAGGACCAACATCATAAGCCACCCTAGGGGCATTTATTTCTGAATTCAAAAGCTCTCTTCTGTTCATGGGCATTTCTATTGTATATGCATTGTGTTATTATGTGTCCCTAAACATTCATAATATTCATGTATACTTTTAAAAATAAGCTTTCTTTCCTCAATATTTGATTTATCCTTTGAAGTCTTAAACCTGAATACCAACTGTTTTAATTATTTTATCATTTGTAATATCCAGCTAACCTCATTAAAAATCAAACAATTCTTTGATACTCTATTCTAAAATAGAAAAGGATTTTCTTTCATATTAAAAATCATCTCAGCCTCCTTTTGAAAATTAACTACCAAATTTCCTCCTGCTCATTTTGGAGACCTTCAAGTTTAACATGTTCCTAATTTCATTCCAGAAGTAAAAAGAAAAACCGAGAGATCACACAGCTGGTTATGATATTATTAACATCAATCAAAACAGAGATCATATATATCTATTTTAATACCCAATAGTTGGCTCATCAAATATCTACAAAAAGATCACTGAGAAAATAGAACATGGACAACTTTTATAAATACAAGCAATGCTACAGCAGGTCAGAAATGTTTTCTTTCGGTAGCACTAAACACCAAGAATGGCTGTATCACAACTGAAACATCAAATGGTTAGGATCATTTCCTTATAGATATAGCAGACTCTACTTAAGTAAATGTAATAACCATATAGTATTCTTAAATTTATTGAAACTTTGTTGAATCTGATTATGGATCTAAATACCTTTCCTAATTTCAACAGTTCTTTTAAAATATAGCCATTATTTTTATTATTTAGTCATATTTTTTAGCTTAGAACTCAAATCAAGGATTCAGTGAAAAAAATTCATGTACATGTTATTCGTAATTTGTCAGAAAGAAATTCATTTATTTAGTTGCTCCTTATGAGGAAGACTATCAGCCTCATCATTGTAACTGTTATATGAACTCCTCAGAGCTCTTTTACATCTCTGCTGATACATTTAACTTGGAATACAATAAAAATAAATCTCAGAAGCAAATCTTCTGTTCTGTCTTTACCCAGCTTGGAAGGAGTGAAAGCATAAGTGGATGAAAAATGTATATTTACATTTGCAAACCAAATAACTGCTTGCCGTTTCCTATGAAGTGTTAAATGAATATTAATAGAAGGATTGTATTATTCCTTTCTTGTTCATAAAATGGGGTGGGGGAAGGATGTTCTGTTATGTTCATGAACAGTTTTCTCACAGATTTCCATGAGATTGCATCTTGATGAAGACTATGGCATATGTCCCAGGAGCTCCACAGTTGAACAGAAAAAGAACTTGAAAAAGAATCCCAAAACATGCTTATTCACAGTCTATATTATTCTGCAATTGGGAGAGAAATTTGTTAAATGATATGGTGCCTAGAATTTTATGCGGTCTTTATAAAGAATGAAAACGTCCTTAATTCATACCAAACATTCAAGATTTATGTTAATTTTCTGCTTTAATTACTACTATGTTCAAATGAGCTTATTTAAAAAACAAAGACACTCTGAGGTAGCTTTATAACAAGAAATGGTTTTGAAATTGGAACTTTTAGTCAAGTTAATGTTATGCATGAAATGATTTTTTATACAGACTTAATGGTATTGTGACACACGAGTTCCTCAATAAGCCACAGCTTAAAATTGCAGAAACGTCCCTCAGGGACACATCACTAGCAGATGCAGATTGCCAAGGTCAATTAAACTGATGTAGCTGTGCTGTCATATATGTAAAAGAGAAACCCACAAGCATATGACAAGTATATTTCTCAGTATTTATAAAAAGATGTCAAGAATGTTATATTTTAGTACACAAATATAAATTAATTCTCCATAAACAATAAAACAATACAACAGATATCATAATGAAGAAGGATTATTAGTATTGTTTGGAGAGTTTGATATGTTATAAAACAATTTGGGGAATAAAAACTTTCAACATTTACAATAAAATGATACCTTGAAAACATAGATGAATTCATCTATGTCCTTGTTGTTTAATTTTACATAACCTATTACCCAGTAGTATGGAAGCACAATGAAACTAAAAGGCGAGCTGAGGTAATAATCTCAGTAATTCAGCGCTGAAAGCAAAATCTCAGCAAGATCAAATACATTATAATTACAAGGCCAGGATATCAGAGTTCTGTTTAAATAGAATAACCTGCGGTAAGGAAAGACCAGAAACAGA